AAGGGAGTTTATGGTCAATGGACCATACCTTTTGGTGTTTATGGCCTAGGGGAATTTACTCCTGGCCATAAACTCTCAATTGGGTCACCAAATGAGGCTTAAAACTATTTTGACTTAAGTGGTTAAGTGTTCCAAGGCTTAAACAAGAGGTTGTGTGGGTTTAAGGTGCAAGAATGGCCTTGCACGGAGTTTACGGCCTGGGGACCACTTCCCCATGAGTTTACGGCCGTAAAATCATGGTATGAAGTACCAAATCGTGTATTGAAGTCCCTATTTCAATGGTGTAAGGTTCTATGCTAAGTTCCAGGGCTTACTAAGGTGTTAGGGTGTCATTTTCACCCTTAAAAGGGCTTTACGTCCCAAGAACATGTCTTGGCCATAAACTCCTTGAATCATGAGATTCTTTATGTTTTCTAAGACCTAAGCATGTTAAACCTAGTGGACAATGAGTTGGAACAAGGGTACTTATGATATAGGAGCTTGAATGGTCGGTTTTGGCCAAGAACACTAGTGTGTGTTCTTGGTGAAACTTGAAGATCTACAAAATGGAATGATTTCACAGATGAAATCTTGTAAGATTACTAGCTAATGCAAGATATCAACTAGTTAGGACAATAAACTTACGAGATTTAAAGATCGGGATGATAGTTGAGAGGATTTCACCCAAAGGAAAAGGGGGAATGAACCAAATGGTCAAGACTTGACCTTATAGGAGGAGTTTATGGTCCACATGGAGTTTACGGCCGTAAACTCCCATGTGGTGGTCGTGAACTCTTGGTCAAGGTGTTCCAAACCTATTCTTTGAGCTATAGATTCAACAGATAAACCCCGACACTTATTCGTTAAGTGTACAAACTCAGAATGGTCAAATAAACTCCTAATTGTGCTAAAAGATAACAACAATGAGTTTGACTTTTAATGAAGTGTTTGACTGAACTGGATGGAAATTTTCGGGTTGTCACAGTTGATGATATTATTATTTCCTCAATTGAGCCTGCTTTGTCTAGAGATTTCAAAAATCTGATGAAAAGTCAATTTGAGATGAGCATGATGGGAAAAATTAACAATTTTCTAGGATTGAATATTCATCAAAGTGGAGAAGGAATTTTTATCAATCAAGAAAAATACACAAAGAATCTACTTGAAAATTTTGTCTTGACGAATAGCACAAAATTATGAGTACCAATGGCAGTTGGAACAAGGCTCTCACCTTCATTAGATAAACCAACTATTGATCGTACTTTATACAGAAGTATCATAGGTTCATCACTTTATCTTACGGCAAGTCGACTTGACAAGATGTTTTCTCTTTGTAATTGTGCTAGATATCAATTGAATCATAGGTAACCACACTCAACAACAGTGAAGAATATTTTTTGATATCTCAAAGACTCAATTTCGTTAGGATTGTGGTATCCCTAGAAAACAGGATTCTTCATACAAGCACTGTCTGATGCTGATTTAGGGGGTTGCAATCTTGATAGAAAAAGCAGAAGCGGCGGATGTCAACTACTAGATGGGAAGTTAGTAAGTTAGCAATCGAAGAAGAAAACATGTGTTTCGATTTCCACAACAAAAGCAGAGTATGTTGCTGATGCAGCTTTCACTTCACAAATCATATGGATACAAAGCCAATTGTGTGATTATGCAATCAACATGAAGAAATTTTTTTTGTATTCTGATTCGCAAAGTGCCATACGAATTTGTCACAATCATGTGCAACATTCAAAAACCAAGCACATTGCTCTTCGCTTTCACTTTATAAAAGATCATGTTGAGGATGGCAATATTGAAGTTCACTTTGTGATAACCACTGATCAACTTGCTGATATTTTCACAAAGCCATTAGATGAAAAATCATTCATGTGAATTTTTTTTAGGGGGGGGGGGTCTACGAATGATTGAAGGAAATTCAGTTCCTAGATTGATTTCAAAAGAATGATAAGAGAACAAGGTGCAAAAATGTCGATTCAAAGGTGTTCACGTTCTGCACTTCAATACGCTTCGATTACGACATTATGTTCACACCGCTTAATAACAAATTTTCGTCCGCGTTGTACAAAAAAAATCGTTACTTTTATGTCGAAAAATCAAAAAGACCAAAAAGATTTTATTTTTCTTTCGTTTTTCAATTTTTGAAAACTCAAAAAGACCAAAAAGATTTTATTTTTATTTTGTTTTTCAATTGTCAAAAACTCAAAAAGATCAAAAAGATTTTTTTTATGTCGTTTCATTTTCTAAAAATCAAAAACTACAAAAAGATTTTCTTGTTTTTGATGTTTGTATCTTCTTTTCTTAATGCAGATTTTGACAAAGATCGACAATGATTCATGCTTGCAGTCTAGGGTCAGGTATATTTTTCGAAAAACTTTGCACTAGTTAGGTTGTCCCTAGAAGCATGTTCCAGCATGTTGTCCTAAGCATCTTTTGACTCAATGTGAGTTTTCAAAGCCTTAAAGAAGTTTTCATTATGAAAATTTCTTCCCAATCAAGCTATCTTCACATTAGTCCTTGAGCTACCTTACTGTTCTCATTTGAGTTAAGAGTTTACTGCTTGGTCCATACATAACAGAGATACTTACGAATCCTTAACAAAATATTTTTCATCCTAAAGTTCTTACACTTTCACACACAATGACATATGTCAAAGAGATCTCCGGTATAAACCAATCAGGATTTAGACATATCAAAAATATGTGTTTATGATCTGGATTCATGAGGCCGTGATGAAAGTGAAACCCAAATTTTCGAAATTAAGAAGGAATTGACGGGGAACTTTGTTCCAGATTTTCACGAAATATTTGTTTCAGTACCAACTTTTGATACTCAAAATCATATTATTTTTTTTATGAGTGATCTTGATAGCATGTTCGAATCCCATGTCATTTTACACCCAACAAGATCCGATACTTTTTGTTGTTTTATTGAATATAATTTCAGTTTGAGTATCTATTGGATTCCTTGTCACTTCATAAGTTTTCAATGCATACTTGTCACTGACTACACTAGTGAAACAAGTAATTTCGGTTACAATTGACCACACTTATGTTTAGTGTTGAAATGTAACAAAATTCTAAACCACCCATCAAGCTTATTAAAAAGACGTCCTTCGATACTTCTTTACAAGTATTCAATTGTAATTCACGGGAAACCACACAAGAAGTTGATTAACTCTCTTGATAATTAACGAAGTCATCCTTACCCTGGATTTATCTGCCTTTATGTCGAAATTTTATTTTTGACATCATAGGTTCTAAAATTCTATTTAGTTTGCTTCTAATCTTTTTCTTTGGAACACTGCACTCACAAAATCCTTTAGGTTTTGAGTAATACCATCTCACGTTGAAGATTTCGAAAGTCTGGCATATTACTTTGCTTCTAAACCCAAAAACGAAAGAGGCCAACCTCCATTTTGAAGGTTTGATCTTTATCCACAAGTACTCATTAACAAATGGCTGATGTGATGGTTTGGCAACATGTGCAAGTTTCAAGGTTACTTTATCTTACATGGCGTCATTAACAGCTAGTGGTGTGTGTTTCAAGGGGATACATGGTTAGGTCATTAAATGGATCGATTGGTATTCACGTGTGGATACATATAAAAGGGGGCTTTGGTTTACATTAACAATTTATGATATCAAAAATTTCTCAGATGATCTTTGCCCTAATTGATCTTTGTTTATCAAACGTTTACAAACCCTAACAATGGCTGCAAACCAATCCGCTACCACTGAGGATGTGTCTTCTCAACCAATCATGAAATTCAAAGCATAAACAATCAAGTTGAGGGGGTTGTTTCTCTTTATCCAGGAGAACTTCTGATGTTGATCATTGCTTTTAAGCACTCAGTATTTTCAACAGCGATGTCTAGTTCATATGTCGTACCAAGTCTTGGCTATCCTTGGCAAGCTCCACAGCAACTTACAGCAAGACTTTGGATATTGTTACCTTCAACATGATTACTGATAAGAGGTTTCATTTGATAAATAAACTTTTGTGAAAATTCTTGAACTTCCTAATTCTCCGCCATTCTACAATGTTTCAAATGAGCAAGTCCTTCATATGTTAAATGAGATAGGTTATCAACCATCTGTTACAAAGACTAGTGAGTTCAAGAAGTCTAGTCTGCCATGTATTTGGAAATTTTTGTTTGGAATTTATCTTCGATGTCTCACAGGTCGAAGTGTTGGTCTTGATAAGGGTAGATTGGAAGTATATGCAATGGTTCCTGGTAGTTATTTTGATTTACTAGTGGATTATGGGTCTCAAATGTGGAAGGAATTCTTGACGAGTGTGGAAAAACAAATATTCATGGGATATATTGTGCAAGATATTGGAGTCTAAATCTTCATTTTTCATATAACAAAGAAGGAATTTTGGTGTCTACTGATGAACCTGTTGCTGAATTCGTGAAATATCATTTTCCAAAAACTATGGAAGATGATGAGGATGTGTTTCCTAATATAGGTCGCATTCGTGATGCTATTTTTAAGAATGTAGATCCGACAAACCCAATTCTAGTGGCTTATTTATAATCCAACAATCCTTCTGTGGAAACTGGAATTCTTTTAACTCATACTAATGATGGGTCTTCGAAGAAATAAATAAAGTCCAAGCATAAGAGTGATGCAATTCCTTCGAAACAAGTTTCCAAGAACATAAGTTCTAAGTAACCAAAGGAAGGTTATGGTGATAAAGCACAAGTTTCGAAGATAGTTGAAAAGCAAGTCAAAGATCCAAAAGATGTTTCTTCAAAGTAGTTAGTATCTTCAAAATCAGGAGTGCTTAAGCGGTTAAAGAACTTATCTCACAAGCCAAATTCATCATCTGAAAATCAATCTCCTTTAGTTCAAAAATCTCAACTTAATTGAAAAGGGGTTACTTTTCGTGAAATCCCAACACCATTTTCTCCATCCTCAGATAAAAGAGGAGCTGAAGATGTTGCCAAACGCATATCAAGGAAGAGAAAGAAAAGAAAGCTTATTCTTTAGGAGGATTCGATGGATGAAGAGGTTGTACCGGAAACACCTTTGGGATTCAGTTCACCATCCACAACATCTACACCAAACACAACTATTGATATTCCACCTGAAGATTTGGTAACCAAGTCATTTACTGAGGAGGTTCCAACTTCAGGCATCCTTGCACACGTATCTAATACGGATGCAAATGTCCTCATGGGTGACGTTGTATCGAATCCTGTTGCTTTTCAAGGTATATCTCCTATTATTACTTCTTCTACTTTCAAAACCACTACAAATCCCATTATTTATTTACCATGGTTTGTTTTGAAAGTTCTCACCTACCTATAAAAATATCCTACAACAACCTATCACTACTCTATTTACATCCCAATCCACTGATCCACCCAAACCCAATTCCAATGATGAAAATGATGGAGGGGGTTTTGGAGGAACATTTGCAAACTTAGAATTTGGTCACGAGGAAGAAAGTATTCCGGATCATATGCTAACGTTTGGAAAACAGTTTAAAATACTCGACAGAAAACTCAATTCAATTCTTCAATCACAAGTTGATGTTAGGAGTAAGCATTCAGTATCTGGAATTGAAGTTGACGTGATGCTTAAAGCTTAGGAGCTCCGTCTACAACAAAAATTGGATATAATAGATAATAACAATGAGCCCAGAGTAAAGGGTCAAACTGACTCATTCAATGGCGAAATTAAAGAGATAAGGATGGTAGCAAAAGAACGACATGTTCGTTTTGTTAAAGATGTTAAAACTTTAAGGGAGGATGTGAACTGAAAATTAGAGGAAATGATGGTTAATGTTTCGAAAGAGCTCGAGGAGTTGAGTACCAATTATTCCTTAATTCTTTCCAAAGTTGATATTATAGCAGCAACAATAATGAAGTTTGTGGAAACTTATCAATCTCTGATTCCGAAGGTTGATGCTAAGGCAAGTAATGATGTTGTTAGTTTTTGAAAAGTTGGGTATTTTCCTTGCTGAATTAAAAGAGATTGCAACGAAGTACGATTCAACGTCAACATTAAATCCTGAGTACTTTACTCAGAATTTTCATTCTCTCGAAATGGTGATAAAGAAGGAGTTGGCTCCTAGGTCTAAATTTATCAATCTTTTACCAACGAGTGCCCCACCTGTTATCACAGGGGTACAAGGGGGAGAAAAGGAGAAGGTTGGTAAAGATGTGAAGTCTAGCAAAGGAGAAAGAGAAAAAGTGAGTAAATGTGAATGGGAAAAGGTGATAACTATGGGGAAGGTGATTTCAAATCGAATCCAAACTCCAATTATTTTGAAAATTGATGCAATAATAGGTACCAAAACCACAACAAGACCTATTCAAAAAGGGATTGTTATTGGTTCAATAGTTGGTGGTGGGAGTTCAAGTTCTGCAAAACCTAACCCTTCTGAAGCTGACAAGGGAAAAGGAATAAAGATAGCTATTGAAAAATCGAAAGATGAAAGAAAAGTTGAGATAGAGTCAGAATTAGAAAAGAAATTCCAAATTCAAAGCATCCTGCGGCTTCGTGAAAATGATCCTCCCTCAATGGATAAAGGTGATCCAAAGAAACTACATAGCTATGAAAATATTGAAGCGATAGTGTCATATAATGAAATGTATGCATTCAAGAAGAATCCAAGAAAGACTATGCAATAGAAAACAAAGATATGAATCAACTTGATTTCCCAATTAATGAAATTATGTTCATCATAGCACAATACAAAATTATTGAAAAATTCAAGAATGAAGATGGTTTTCTATATATGAAGCTGAGGTTTCATGCTGTGTTGGGAAAGGATCAGGAAGAGGTTTGGTACCTTATCAAGATTATGCGTGTGATAAGGGTGACTAAGGATGTGTTGTTAGAAAACATGATTCAGAATTTTCGATTTCATGTTGTAAGGGAAAACAATGTGGTTTGTGATTTTTCAGTTACTGACTTTCCATTGAAGAACTTGAATGATCTTATCCAAGTTGCATTGATTCTCAAAGATATGGACACTTCGGAACTTCAAAGAGGCAAAGAGATTTTGAGACTTGGTCTATGTCACATCAAAATCTTTATAGATAATTACTATGATTGTCTAGCCTTAACTGATATTGAGCTATGTACGACACTCGGAAATGAAATAAAAGTTGCTCAAGAAGTTGAGAAGAGTCAAACAGAACTGAATAAGTTTGCTGATGGGGAAATTTGTTTAACGCCAATAGGATTAGTTTTTTTAGGAAAATACAAGAAAGGAAAAGCTAAGAGGTTCTTATTTCAAGCTTCGGAAGTGGAACGATAACTGCTCAATATACCAACTTTATTGTTTGTATGAATAATTGTAAGAAAAACAACGGAGGAGATAAATCTGAGCTAAAAAAGGTTATGAGTTGGTATACAGAGATTCAAAGATTAATGCATATAGCTGCTCAAATTCTCACAAACTGAGTTTGACACTATTTAGAAAGGGGAGAATGTTAGTGTCAAATATGTTGTAATGTTTCGAAGTTATTTGAGTTAGTTTCGAAATTCGTTTTATCTATTTACTAAGGCATAATAGTTTCGAAGTCTTGATGTTTAACCCTCAGTATTTTTTGTATACTTTCTGATTCTCCTATAAATAAGAGTTGTACTCAGAGTTAGATAGAAGTTTTCCGAGTCATTCTGTCTAGTATTCTCTGTGTATTCAAAAGTATAATGGAATTATAAACCAGATCTTATTTACTCTCCGCGTTCATACTACTTTGTTTACTTTTATTACATTAATAATCGATTAACTTGCCACTACAACCACCATCTCTTACATGAAACCTTTCATGTTATCACACTATAATTTAAAATAATTCCCATTTATACTATAACTCGGAGTTATATATAAATTCATATTACTATAACTCTTCTTAATCATGTTCTATTTTGTCTACAATCAACCATTCCTTGGTATGTTTCAATACCTCATAATGTTTTAACAATTTCCTATCGATTCATTTGAGGAAATTTTTGATACAATGTCACGATGTTCAAAACATATAAGACACTAGAATAAGCACAAGTTATATCATACATGATCGATCCTATATCTGAAGCATATAGGACTCGAGTCATCCTATCATCTTCATGATTAGTACAAAGGACTTTTGATATTTACTCAACCCATTGCTATGAAGGATATGAACAATCCCTTCAGAATTTTCCATGTTGAAATATTTGAACATATTATGCTTTGACTGAATCCTATTAAACATTTTGATCTATACTTTTAGATCTGAAGAATAAGTATCAATGTCGCTTCTCTATGTCCATCATAGCAAAACAATTCTCGAGCTTTTGCACATTACAACTTAGAGAGAATGTTTCCTATGAGTAGTATTTCCATCAACATGCAATACCAACAAGACAATGGCACTCCCACTAGCTTTGGTGTGTACTTAAGACTCATTTGGACTTCTAAAAGGACCATACTCCTTGACATTCTCATGGAAGAACAAATTCTTTGTTATGCGATTCTTTTCTAAATCTATTAATAGACTTCTCAAGCATGCACACCTTATTTAGATATTTTGTATGTTTAAATCCTTTCAATATGTATCATACATCCTTCGAAGGTTTCCTATTAAGGAAAGTTGTTTAAAATCCATTTTACCAGATCTTATTATCAAACAGGACAACAATGGTAACATATAACCAAATAAACCCTTTCGCAACTACTGGTGAGAATGTTTCCTCATAATCAATTTCTCAAGCTTAAGGGAAACCCATTTATACCATATTCTCTTTAAATGTGTGAAGATTCCTATCCATGTTAGTCTTCACATTGAATATCTAATTGCAACCTATTGTCATAAGTTTGGGCTTTGGATCAACCAATCCCATATTTGGTTATCTTTCATGGACTGAATTTCACCATCCTTAGACTCTTCTAATGGTATCCATAGGGTAGACCATTGCTTCCTTGTATCTATTAGGCTTATCCAAATTGAATAATGTTTTATCACTAATCCAAGTATTTCCTCCCTTAGTTAGATGAAACAACATAAAACTTAGGAGGTGCTCTAACTCTACCAGATTTGTGAAGAGTTAAGGTAATGTCATTTGTTTCAACTGGTATTATAACCTCAAGTTGAGTGCTAGTGCCAACTATAGGTTTATTGTCGGTTATATCTTGAATTTCTTCATGGTCAATATGACTCTCACTGACTTCTTGATACGTATATGTTCATTCTCTTAAGGAACACTTATTTTGAGCCATAAGCACCATCAATACGATAAGTCTTTATTGAATACTCAACAATGTAACACTTCTGAAATCTTGACTCAAGTTGGTCATTGGTTTCTTGTCCAACGAAACCTCATAAAACCAGATCTAAATGTGTTGGGATATTTATTATGTTGTGTCAATTTTGTTATGCTTGTAATTAGTCTTTATTATTATCAGATTGGGCCTATCTATCTGTCATTTTGAGCTAGGGTTAGACTATAAATATTACATGCATGTAATGTATTAGGGTTAAGGGTTTTGTAATTCCCTACCATGCCTTTATAGAGAAGTTCTTCATCGAGCTCTTCTAAGGAATTGATTTTAATCATTCAGCACAACTTCAATCATTACTTTTATTGTTTGATTTACATTACTGGTTAGAATCTATCGATCTATTCATATTTGTTTCAACAATAGCTATCAAAGCAGGAGATTGTGTAAACCATATGCAATTATTCTGTCTAGTCTTATTAGGGTTTTCCGCTTTTATTAGATCTATTATTCTCGTCTTCATTGTTTTCATCGATTGTAGATGTTTGATCTTGATACTTATTTTTCCCAAAACTCAATTTTATTTTTACACATCCAATTAATTATAGGTTTTAGTTAATCAACAACATGCAACACGGCGATCCACACATTCTATCATTCAATCTTTCTAGCAGCATCGGATCTACTACCTGAATCTCTATCCTTTTCCCACAAGACAATGAAGTTTGGGCTTTACACTTTGAAGACTAAGTTTTAGGTATCGAAGACCATTGAAAAACAATTTGGCAAGCCATGAAAAAGGGAACTTATATGCACACGGGAACTAGGAGAGTTATCAAAACTCAAGTAGAATACAATACTCTTCTTATTAATGTTAAAGACGTTCCTCAGGATGAAAAGGATAAACTGCTAAGAAACGTCAAAGAAATGATCATAATCAGGTTTACTCTACCTCCAGTCATGTTTCTTCTGGTGATTTCTTATGAAACAACGAAGGAGATTTGGGATAGGCCGAAAGAACTTTATTCAAGTGATGCACATCTTGAGCATTCTTTTTAGACACAACTTTTTCGGAGTTTGGTGCCTTTGCTCAAAAGCTAGATGAGAAACTTGATCAAACATTTAATCATTTTAATCATCTTCTAAGAAGGATGTTAAAACACAACATCGGACGTGAAAAGATAGAGCAAAAGGTGATGTTCATGAACAGTTTGAGATCAAAATGGAAAGCAGTAGTATCAACTGTAAAAGTGCATGAATAGTTTAAGAATTACACTATGGCACAACTGGCGGATATTTTGAGATCCCACGAAGATGAGATGATGAAAGATGCAAAGCTTGTTTCTGGTATGGGTCCGTTGGCCCTAGTCGCGAAG